GAACATTCTGAGTTTTGTCTTCTTTTAAGTACAATAAATCATTAGTAAAAAATAGCATAAATTAGAAATAAGTTATACATATATATATATATATATATATATAAGGGACTTTTAGCCAATTATTGTAAAGATTTGAACAAATAGAAAAACACTTGGTATAGTTCTTTAGATAAATAATATTATTTCTGCAAGTTTTTAGCATCGTTACCAGATCTTTAAAGGGACAAAATATTATAGAGCATTTATTCAACAAAGTTCTTTAAAATGTTTGGCTAAAATTCTGACCTCACATTTCTTTTTCTCATGACAATTTCAACTAATTTCTTTGTAATTTCATATTTTAGCCACATTTCTTCATTATTTGCATAACTTTTCAGTATCTAATGGGACAGATCAATTGTTCAGGTATATATTCATCAAGCCCAGTTTTCAAATTAATTTCTGAAATGTATTTTGCAAATAAACGTAACACCAAAAATATTGTCAAAACCTTATGTAATGTATATTTTAAAATATTTCTACAAATAAATTAAAAATATGCAATTATGAAGTTGAACTTATAATTCTAATAAAACACTTTACTACTTGAATCATCACCAAATTTACTGGTGCTACAACTTCCAAGAACAGTCTAGGCCTTTGTTAACAAAGAACCTAGACTTTACAGTTGATTTCACCTTTCTAGAGATAAAATTCTCAATTATCTTTCTTTCTGAGGTATCTTATCAATAATTTGACTATTACAGTTTAAAGTATTAAACACTGGTTGTAAGCAAACTCATCTTTTCTAACACATTCCAACATATACAAGAGTGAAGACTGACATTAGCAATAAGTGCTTTTTATATACTGTATGTTGATGACTGATCAGATTTGGCCATATGACTTCCATTTGATATCATACATTACACTGTTTTTAAATGGCATTATAACAACATGCATAAATATTCTTGTCATGAGACTTGATACAACAAAAGTCAAACCAACATACAGATGGACTCTACATAAGCTTTCCTAAAACACAAATCAAATTTTCTCTCCAAATTTTTTTTGAATATCATGTTATGGTAGTGTAACTTTATATCCTCATAGATGGAATATTCAAAATGCTATAAGCTGGAGTTAGAAATGATTATATGAAGCCTATTCACATTCAAACTAAAGCACATCAAATAGGAAAATAGGAAGCAGTCAACAATTCAAAGGTAACTTCTTACTGCCAGTTATCCTACTTCCATTAACAATGTTATCATCCATGTAAAAGTATTACTGACAGCATTAAACAGATCAACTTTTGCTCTTTCTGTTTCTCTTTTTTAGAGGAAACTATTACCAATAAAAACAAATAAAAAATCATACCAAATATCAATGGGTAGTTATCATCACATACACACATATGTATACGTATGTATAAATTTACATCTTTTGGATACTCTTAGACTCAAACAATTTTGAAAGATAACAGAATATGGAATCAACCAACCTCCAAACATCACTAGCTTTGGAGTACGTTGAGGACTTTATGACTTCTGGTGCCATCCAGGCATATGTTCCAGCTGCTGACATTCGAGTGGTTTTATACAATTCTCTGGCTAGTCCAAAGTCTGTGATCTTCAAAGTTTTCTGCTTTAGGTCACCAGTATCCAATGGCTCACTCAACAAAACTAGGAAAGGATGAACAACAATACATTCACAATAATGACTGAAGCATAAGCAAAATTATGTGAACAATATTCCTTTTTAAATACAAAAATTAACAAAACTGAGGTACGTGTACATGGTACAATATTAAAACTGTTAAAGATTAATCCTTACAAGACAATACTTACTATAGTTGAGGTTCACTATATAATAATAATGCTAAAATAAAAAAATATACTCTCTAAATACTTATCATGGTCAAGAAACACAGCATGTTGATATTCATACTTGGCAATACATACTCTTAATACCATATTAACCAAATACAAAGTATTCAACATAGATATTAATTACAATTTACAGATTTTGCAGTAAGCTCAAAACAAAACTATAATGATATTAAAACTTGCAAAAAACACCCTCTTACAAATTCTCAACAAAACCATGGTACATTACATAAAAATAATACACTATATAGCAAATCATACTGTTTTAGCACAGTATACCCATTACTAATTATGGAATGTGACAATATCCTACAAACTTACAAATACAATAATGAAACAGTGCAACAAACTTCCTGTAAACAACACTAATTATAAAAAAATATAATAATAGACTACACTAAAAAAGCACACTTACTACAAACAGTACTAAAAAAAAAATACTGACCACTATAGACTACAATCCAAAGCTCAAGGTGAAAACTACAAGCAAGATATGATTGTGTTAAATAAGGTCAGTATGTTTTTATCAGTAAAATATGGAGCATTAAAATCAGGAAAGTGATACCAGTGATTTGAGAATGGGCTAATACCAAGTACTTTTACCCAACTACTATTGAGATAAGTACTGACTAGAAATTCCAAAAAACCTCAATGTTTTAAAATTTTCTGGAAGGAATAGACAATTCTCTGTACAGAAAGCATAATATAATACATCATTTGACAGAGAAAACCTTTGGCTTTCTATTGGTTGTAATTAATATAATCTTATATGTCAGAGAGAACTATTGGCAAGTTCTGAGCAAGAGGGGTCTGATTTTCTATCTTATTGCCCTGTAACTAAATAAGATTGAAGGCTATGTAAATTATGCTTTGCTTGAGTGATGACAACAGTATAATGAGTAACTTATGTTAAATTTCATACTTCTCAAAGGGGTGGTAAAAAAATTAGAGAAGAGGGAAGACAAGAACAACAAATGTCACAGTTCTCATACTAGTGGAGATTGATAAATCTTCTTTAAAGTATTTCCTTATAAAATTAAGAACTTAAAACTTAAATAACACTAAGCTTTGGTTTATGTTCTGATGTTCTGATGATGTCTATGCTCTGATGCTGAGTTTATTCATATACATTGATAATAAAGTACTTTAATTAAATTTTGAATGTAACTCCGTGAAAGGTTGTAACATGCGCACTTTGACCTACCCGAGATGAAAGGGTTAATCATGTGGTACTTTCAAATGGCTTTATTTACTTGCAACTTATTGTCATTGATGAAACCTGTTAGAAGTTGGTGGTGGACAGCTGTGTGCAAACTGTATGCTTATTAGTTCATTGTGGTACAAAGTACAAAGCAAAGTACTTGTGATTGCCTTGTGTATAGGGTGTTTTGCAGTGCATATTCAATAACCTGGGGGTCAAGTCTCATGCATTCTGACAAATTCTTGTGTGTACGGGACCTAGGAGTTCAGGTTAACTAGAACCCTGTGTGTATAATTTCATGTTTATACCATACATGTAAGATTTCATTTTCTTATACTCTGTACAAATAAGTATTTTACAAACAAATTCAAACCATTATGATATTTATGTCAACCTTATACAAATAATTATTCCACATAAAGCCTCAAGTTTTTTCTTTCTGTTATACAGTAAGCAACCTACACTGACTCTCAAGTTGGTAAGAACTCTCATTTCTTCCATACAAATAAGTATTCAACACACACACACAACCTAAAAATGAAGTTGTTCCCCTCCATACGTCTATTATATACAAAGCCTCTGTTCACAGATGCTTCCTCTGTAAAACAATGAGTAACAAATACTCTACACATGTGACATACACAAATAACCTGAAACTGATGTCTTGTTTCCTTTATACAAGTGTTATATATATGTCCTCAAGTCACAGACATTTCCTGTGTAGGAAATATGTGACAAAAATTCTACGGAATCTATACATACAAATAACCTGAAATTGATGTCGTTTGCCTCATACAATCAACATATGTGTAACCTCAAGTCACACGTTTCCTCTGAAGCAAATAAATGACGAGTATTCTACACACGCCACCATCAACTTGTCATATTTATTCTATAAAACAAAACAAGTTACATGATGAGATTCTAAATCCAATCTCAAGCCCAAAAGGTCTATCTCTAGCATATACCAATGTTCCACCTACAACTTTAAGTTACAAAACTACATCAATATATCACAAACAATATTCTAACATACACATAAAAGTCACTATAACATTGTTTTTGCGTTTTTTAATGAAATATATTTTAAATGAAAGATGTTCAAGCTGGTTAGGAATATACAATATATTATTTCCGAGCTTGTTTTGTACCAAATATATATATATATATATATATATTTTTTTTTTCAATAATATCTGTGTATCCAATATCAACTAAGTCAACATTTGATATGAACAGTTTCATTTCACATGGTATATAATTCTTATAAGCATTACAATTATATACACATATAACTACCATAGTTACCAGGTTAGCTCTTCTTTACAGCAAACTAAGTCCATTACAGCCATATAGTTAGTCACAAACATTGATACAATAATAATAAAAAAGGATAAATATAGTATTAGCCAGTAGGTGCATTTTATAACAAACACTCCTGGATGTAACACAGAGTTACTTGATATTCAGGTAGATTTGAAACTAGTATCATATGCACACTTAAAAGTAGAGCCTGTTTCCAGTAAATACTTAAAGTTGACATGTATTAAAAATCTCTCTCTCTCTCTCTCACACACACACACACACACATATATATATATATATATATATATATATATATTTAAAGCAGAGCTGTCCACCTGTTCATATGGTGTCAAAAGTTGTTTCAAAGAACTGGTTGAAACCACTTTGATGACATTTGAAAGACAAATCCTCAAATATAAACAGTTTAAGGGGATGTGCAACTAGACACACACAGTTAACCTCTGGCAGCCATTTAAATTTTACTACCTTAATGCTATGAATAATGACTTAACTGAGGTACCTTTGGATCTGACAAACTGTTCATGTTCTGAGGTACAAATGCAAGGGAACAGATCACACTTATTTCAAGCCTGGCAATACCAACTGTGACATTTTTGGCATAATTTACATTGTAATGTATAATCAGTGGTTGCCTGCATAATCAAAATTTGAATTTCTAGACTTATCAAAGTCAATTCTAGGTCAGTATTAGTAGATTCATAATTTCTGACTTTGTTTCTTCCTATTTAGCAAGTGGTGCCTCCTGGACACTGATTAACGACCTGTAAAAAGACTAATCAAGTCTGACAGTTTATTATTATTTCATAAAAACCTATGTGTTAAACTGTTAATGATGGTGGAATTACATTAATTATTTCTAATCATGTTATGGTTTTAAATTGTTCTTACGTTAGGTAATGGTTGGATAATTTTAAGTTCCGTTAAACAATCAATGAATAATTTTTGTTTTTTCTGCATAATCTGTAATTTTATGGTGCATAATCTCAAACTGGGCCGCCTTTTGTTTTGCCGTATCTGTAACACGTACTCATATACAATAAATGCACGCGCTTCTGCCCAACAACACCACTATTCCAACTTCTTATTCGATTAAGATGGGGACTATTCTCTAACGCAACTATTCTCTAACGCAACCAATCTTTTTGGCATGGGTGCTTACCGAATGATCTGGGATTTAGCAACTTAACGTTAGAACAGTCTTTCCCAATGTTTCCTTTTCTGTATTTCTAGAATAAAAAACAGCATTCCATACACTCTTGTGACCAGTTAATTATTAGCACTCAGGTTCTACAGAACGAGGAACATGGCGCATTTTTCATAAAACGTTCCGTAACTGTAAATACTTGAAAATGGCACACACACACACACACAAAGTACTTCATGTTGGGTGCCAAATCACCTAGATAAACTGAGCGAGAGGTATAAAGACAATACAGTCATACGCTAAAACGTGCTTCAGGAGTAACATACAGGTGGGTGAGAAAATATTAAGAATAAAACTAGTTTATAAACAGCGATTACGTAACTTGGAGAGAAAAAAACGACACATTTATATCTAAATGTTTGGAGATTGTAACAGAACCAGTACGAAGTGACAAAGATTACGCGTGGTGGTCGGTTTAATATGACACTTAATGGAAAAAGTTGATAAAAGGAATATTATTGCAAAACTATTTTAAGGTCCTTGATTTTCACTACACTTTTATCTGTAACTCGTGACTGATAAAATTTTATTATACAAAATTCCAAATTAAATACAACTCTAGCATTTTAACAGTTTAAATTTTATTGATTCCTTAAAGTTGATATGTATTAAAATCTCTCTCTCACACACACATGAATATATAAATGAAGCCAATAAACAAAAGAAAAATAATAAATGTGAAGAGGGGAAATATATATATATATACTAAGACTACCATAAAGGCAGTGCTAACAGTGCCTACGAAAACATTAGTTAGGGGAAACGACGATGCCACAGTGGGTATATAATAACCAAATAAAAAAATGCGGAACGTATGAAATACATCTTCAGCGAAAAATATCAACTTAGAAAAAAAAAAAATTTTAGTTATCTCAAAGTGAACTGGCACAATAACCGACAATCCTGTAAAGATCATTTAGTAGGAAAAAACGTCTGAAAATATTAGTACGAACAAAGGTTGAATCACAGGTTTCCAAACAGTGTGGTCTGCGAACCATAGGAGTCCGCAGAACAGTTAAGCGAAGTCCACGAGAAGTCAGCCGCAATAGAGGTAATTTGCTTGTT